GTGACCGTCTTTATGGAAGGCCTCCGCACTGGCGTGGCCAGAATGGAAGTCTTCCGTGCGCATCCATCTTCATTTGAAGAGGCGGTGAATGTGGCATTGAATGCCAAATTCAATTTCAAGTCGGCACGACTTGGTTGACGACCGTAAAGGGCTTCCAAAAGCCATGGAAGATCCTCTCGATTCCGGGGGCGTCGGGCAATAATGCTCGACGCTCCACGATGGAGGGGAGTCAGCTGTATGCTGAGTTGCTGAAAGCGCGATCGGAGACATCGTCACTGTTCGCCTAGCGACGGGAACACGTGTCACGGTCCCGAAGGTCCCTGTGGAACGCTGTCTAGTCTTTGACTCGGAAGCCAGGTATGACCTCATCCTAGGAATGGCATGATTGGAACACCATGATCCATGGATTGGAGGTCAAAAACCTTGGGCGCTACGCGCACGTCTTCTGGTGGCTTCGGCGAGTCATGAACCCGCCTCTGCTAGGAGACAAAAGCGCTATTGGCGAGAGCACTGGACCGAGACGGTCAACGCGCTGGAGATTGGAATGTCCGAGTTGCTAGACCCCAACGGTGTATCGGACAGGAGTCCCGAGCGTGACTCGCGGGCTGATCGTGAAGTGGCACGTAACATACTGAGCGCTGCTCAAGTTTCGGAGCAGTCGCTGCATGACATGCGTGACATTGTCGGCCAAAGGCCGAGGTATCCTGGGCGCGGCCCTTCATATGCGCGTGGAGTGGCACGTTATCCACTGGACGAAGACTGCGGGGTTCGCAGCTCTTCGTCGGATGTTGTAGAAAACACCAGAGCTCCAAAGGAGCGTACAGTGGGAATGACACCAAACGACGCGGAATGCGTGTTCACCCTGGTCTCACCGAGACATGGAACCTCTGTACAGAGGCGACGGCGAAGCCGTATGCTGGCTGCAAGACGCCGGGCATCGACCCTGATCCAGGGTGTGTCTATCGTAGACGATGGTGCACAGTTATACACCCTCGTCAACGGTATGACGGGGGAGGAAGTGGCGACGTCCGCCTCGAGGCTATGCCTGCAGTAGATGCTCTTCTTGAGCTGGACGAGATATCCCTTGAGGGGTTCGGCAGTGCCTTAAAGGCAGGCGGTTCGGCCGAAGTGT